GGTGGATATAGCTCGCTAGCAGCCTCGCACCGAGGACCTATCCACGTCATCATTTACCCAGAATGCTTTGTTTGTAAATAAAATGGCCCTGTCCGTGTAATATATTTTTAAACTTTTAGTTTAAATATTGTAAAAACTGAACATCCTACAGTATTTTTACAGTCTTTATTTTACAGTTAAAATAAATGTTTATCAAATAAAGTCTAATGTTACAACTAATCATGGATCCCTTTAACTCACAAAGTTACGAATCTGACCTGAATCCACAGAAATGTGACTCTGTTCTGTTTTCTGGATGTAAGGAGCGTCTGAACACGGTGTTAGATTTTTATTTTAGTTTGAGTTTTTATTGTTTAAACTGAACGATCATAAAACTGAACCCCGGGACTGAAAATCATTTAACCTCAGACAAGAAAATAGATCAGCTTAAAAATGATCAAAGAACCTCAGTCCAGTCTGTAAACTGTAAACTTTGTACATTTTTGTCACATAGTTGGAAACACACRTGGAGCGCACACACAGCTGAGGAAATAAAATGTGTGAATTGTCTAAGAAACATTTTAATTCTAATTGAGAAAAAAACTTTGTCAACTCAGCAGATTAATTCAGAACAGCTCAGCTGTGATGATTTCTCGCAGATTTGTTGCTGCATAAAGTTGTGCGTATGGATCAATGTCAGCTGTTCTCACTMCCCCTGCGTCAACATATTGATGCTTGGTCAGGTGGCCTTTTGCGTCCAGTTTTGACGCGCCGGGTATATACATTGGGATGTATAAAGGAAAGGTGCGCAGGAACCTGCGTGTGCACAGTTTTATACATCTGAATTATTTGGTGCAGCGCACTTTTCTAAATTTGTCCGTACGTCAACTTTTAGYGTGAAAGCTGCTCAATCSTTWATGCATGAGGGGCCTGGACTCTTCTATGAAGTCAYGTTGTTGTGATGGATGCAGGATGTGGTTTAACTTTGTCTTGATGGMTTTTGAAGGCTTCTTTGAAAAGAGATCCCCTGGATCAGAGCAGATGTTGGTCTAAAACTTGGATATACTTTCCTGCATTGTTGGTGCCTCACCAGATGTGAGTAGGGAAAAATCAGACGTATGGTTGAATACAATAATAACCTGTGCAGGCTAGGGCTGCACAATATATCGAACTTTTATCGTTATTGCGACAACAGCCTGTGCAACTGCATGAACTGCAATAAATGGTTGACTCAAAAGTTTGCATTTATGCATTTTGTTGTTCAGATGGAAGCTTGAAGTATTTCACAAATCGAATGGAGCCCTTCACGTATGGGGTGTCGTTTGTAAAGTTACACAGTCAAAAATTACCACCAATATTTTTCTTTTATTTAGACT